GCAGGGGAGAGAACCAATGTGTTATACATGTACCAACTTCACACAATGAATCTAAAAATTACATATCTCAAACATGTACTAATAAAAATATTTAAAACAATGCAAGGGGATACAAAAATTTCCAATAAAACATAAAACTTACAGAAATGTGCATAAATGTGAAGTATGCAATTCACTGGAATTCCACAAAATGAAGGAAACACTCCCCAATATCCAGATCAAGAACCAACATGAAGCAGAACCCCCAAAGGTCCCTTTTGCCACTGTCCCTCTGCTCACCCAATGGTGCCTGGGATCCTGACTGTTAAGCATCATACATTGCTTTTGTTCATTTTTGAATGCATAGAAGATGTACTTATTTTTACATCTTGGTTCCTTGTTCTTCACACTTATTTGTGCAGCTCACTTTGTTGCTTGTGTGCCAACAGCTTGTGCGCTTCCACTCTGTAACACTTCCTTACATAACTGCACCACTACTGAGGCATTCTGTTGGTGATGGGCATTTGGTTTATTTCAGCACTAGATCTAGAATGAAGGCCAGCAACCGTGTAGTGCAGCAGGGATCTCACCTTGGGTCTGGCACAAGCCGGCAAGCGCTGTAGCACCGAGCTACCGTTGCCCCTGCCAACTTACTTTCTTCACGTTTTCAGCTTTGTAGGTCATGAACTGTCTTTATCTCCTCCCCTTGTTCTATTTTCTTCCCCCCCCCTTACTCGTTTTTCTCCTCTTTTCATAATCTTCTGAAATTGTGGAAAGCAAATCTAGCTCGTAGGCCATACAAATATAGCTGGGGGCTGTACAGAATCTTCTCACCAACACATCTTTTCTGTTGGAAATCCCTAGGCCTGGAGGGGCTGCACATAGGCGCCCTTCACCTTTGCCAGGGATGTCTCAGCAGCATGCATCCTCCTCCACATCCTTCTCGTGCTGGGTTAATGCTAGCTATTCTGGTGAGCACAGGAAAGGAGCTCACTATGGTTTTAAGCCTGACTTTCACTGATGACTAACTGCTGATGACGAGTTTCTTTTTACACACTCACTGGGCATTTTTCTCTTGTCAAGTGTCTGTTCAAGTCTTCTGCCTAAGCCAGGCATGGCGGTGCATATCTGTAATCCCAGCACTCACGAGGCTGAGGCAGGAGGATCACCGTGAGTTTGGACCAGCCTGGGTAACAAAGTGAACTCAAGGCCAGCCTGAACTGCATAGCAAAGCCCTGTCTCAAAAAAGCCCAAAGCAAACACAAGTCTTCTGCCCATTCTTTTATTAGATTTCTGTCCTTTTCTTGATGAACCATAGGAGCTTTTATTTATCTGGAACATCTTAGAGAACAAATCCTTTGTGGGAGCTATGTATTGTAAGTATCTTCTCCCTGTCTGTGTTGTACCACTTCACTTTCTTCATGGTGGTAGTTTTTGATGAACAAAATTTCATGGCATTAACATTGTACAACGCGGTCATGTGGAGTTTGACAACAGGAATATGCTTTGAGAAATGTGTTCTTAGGCAAGTTTGTGGTTGTGTTAGCATCACAGTGGGTACTTACACAGGCTAAGGTGGCCATGACACCACTTGGTGATGATCACATGGGATCACAGTTTTCTATGTGGCCTATTTTTGACTGAAACATCATTATGTAGTACCTGAATAAATATCACTTTGTAAACTTTGTCATAAATACTTTTGCATTGGGGCTGGTGAGATGGCTCAGTGGTCTAAAGCATCTACTTAGAACAAGTTTAGCAAAGCACAGGGACCGTGGTTCAATCCCCCAGCACCACATGCCAGCCAGCCCCGCCCCCCGGTGGGCTGAGCTGGCCACACACACACACACACACACACAAATAAATAAAATTAAAAAAAAATACTTTTGCATTGTGTTTATTCTTTTTTTTTTTTTTGGTGGAACTGGGGATTGAACTCAGGCCCTTGCACTTGCCAGGGAAGTGCTTATTCCACTGAGCCATCTCCCCAGCCCCTGTGTTTATTCTTGGTAGTAATAATTTTTAAAGATACCTTTATCAATGCTTAATTTATATTACATGGTATTTGAAAATAATTTAAAGGACATTAATCTTAAGTGAAGGATCAATTACAAGTGAATATAGCTATAATCACATTATAATGCTTGCATTATACATTATACATTATACATGATACATTTTCATTTGCTTGAAAATCTATATAAATATAAATTCTTTGGAATATCAAGTTCTCCTACACTATCTGATAATTTACTGATGATCAAAAATTTTAAGCTATCTAAACATTTCTTTAAAAGATTATCATGAAATAAAACAAGACAGATCTATATCTTTAAAAAGAATATACTGATGAATTTTTTCCAGCAATGAAAAGTTAGAAGAGTGCTACATACAATTATGGGGAGCTGGGAATATGGCTCAGTAGAATAAGTGCTTCCCTGGCAAGCACAAGCGTCTGAGTTCAATCCTCAGTTCCACCAAAAAAAAAAAAAAAAAAAAAATACATAAAATTATAATGGCTATCACTAAAAGCTTAGCTTGTATTAATTTTATGAAGTAGGTTTTAAAAATTTGAAATGCCTTTGTAACCAAGGAAACATCTGTATTTAAAAAGATTATAAAACTAAGGGATTAGAATAGGTAAGCCAAAAGTACCAAAGTTAAGGGGGACTCCTGCTAGCAAAAAATGAGGTACTAAGCAAAGAGAATGGGGGTTAGGATGTCAGAGCAATGACCAGAAAGATGACAGACAACGTTGTTTTAGCCACTCTGGAGCCAGACTGGGCCAAGCCCTAGCAGAAATGCCTGGAACCTCTTCACAGTGTCTCTTTAATAACTCTTGACTTAATAATTCATAACCAGATTAATCTCTCTTGGCAAGCTTACTCATCTGAGAAAGATTTATTAGAAGAAAATTCCTTTGAGCTGACAGGGGACTTGTCATCCACAAGAGGGAACCCACATACAGTAGCACCCACAGATAACACACTGATATGTGAACGTGGGGATGACTCATTTAAAGTAAATATGCAACAAACATCCATGTTTTCAGGACAAATTAGGAGCTGATCACATTAAAACCTCCTGCATATAAATCTATAGAATGAACATATTTCATAGTGCTGAAGCAAGGCCCAATTCCTTAAGCTCTTTAATGTCTGCTGATTATTTCTGCTGTCTTATCTCCCACTGCTGGTCTCTGAATTTGCTGTACCCTGATGACTGTCAAAGGAAAGGATTTGTCCTCCTCCCCCTCCTTTCTAAAACTGGGGAATTTGAAAATCATGTTTTGCCCAACTTCGCCTGTACCACCGTCTCCCGCCCTGAGATTCTGCATCTTTTCCCTTAGTAACTCTGCCAGGTTCTGGGGAATTGAGTCACTGTTGCTGACAGTTTACATTGCATCTTTCAGTGAGGCTGAGGAGAAAATAAAACAGTTGTCAAAACTTCTTCAACCACTGTGGCCCCTGCTGTCCCTGAAATAATCTCTCATGCAGCTTGTCTCCAGTCTAGACAACTGGTCTCCCTTCCTGTATTCTACTGAATCCTGGCAGGGTCCCTGCGCCCTTTACCTTCTGGATGTCTCTCCTGAGCACCACAACTCAGGAGCGTTCCAGACTTTGTACCCCATGTGTGGCTTGTTGTGGCTGCCACTGTGCTTCCTGTTTTAGTCTATGTGCTGCTGAAGTAAGTGGATGTGTCGCCTCCTGCTGGGACAAGTTCTGGAGAAGGCCGTCCTGCCTGAGCCCAATCAAACATGTTCTTCTCTCCAGAGGGAAAGAGGCAAGAATCAGAATGAAAATGAAGATGCTAAACATAATGTTATGCCAAAAATGTAGCAACAGTGGCAGCTCCCATGTGCTACCACAGCCTGGAGAGGTGGTGACACATCATTCTTGCCATCCCATCTTTCCACAAGGCATGGCACTTAGAAGGCGCTCCGGGTGGAACAAGTGAACGTTGTCATCCTAATTTTAAACCTGAGAGAGCTGGGGCCCAGAGAATTCACTTGTCCCCGGGCATCTGCCCTACCTGAAGTGGAGGAGGAGGGAACCCAACATGGTTACAGCCAACCCACATGTGTGCCCCCCTATTCTACATCTTGTCATGGCCTTGGATGTCACCTTGGATGTCCTAGGAAGGACACAAGAAAAGAGGGTGCCATCCCTTTGTGGCCAACTGCAGCCAGTTCTGGATTTGTAACTCAGCTGAACATGCTGCTTGCTCCAAAGTAGTAGTATGGACACAACAGGAAAATCACACATGTGGAAAGCATCTCAGCCATACCCTCACTCCAAACCCTAATCTAGGAAGCTCAAGAGGGGAACAGAATTCTATTCGTGATCCCCAGGAAGCCAAAGTGGGGGAGGAGATCTCTGTCGGGGACGCACATCCTTCCCTGGCTTGGACTTGGGACCTTTGGGACTTCCTTAACTTTTCACATTTCATCCATAAAATGAGGAATGTGATTGCACTGGTTTCAAAGGTCCCTGTGAGCAAAGATTTCGAAGGTTTCCTCAGAGCTCTGTGAGCAATCCTGGGAACCGGTTTATAATGTGTTGATAAACTCCGCCAAGACATCTGACCTTAGGTCTCCTCTGTGCCCTGTGACCCCTCCCCCATGTGCTCCTGGGTGCTGGAGTGGTGCTGGCCACTGTCTCCTGGAGAGTCCTCACAGCATCCCCATCTACCTCTTGTCACCGTTTCTTTATGTCACAAATCCTTGCCTTCATACTTGTCCACGGGTAGCTCTCACTGCCTAATCATTCTGAATTACAATTGAAAAAGAATTCATTTTGTTAGTTGAGTTTAAAAAGAGCTATGCTGTACTGCCCTAGAGCTACCACCTCACCTGAGAATAAGGGCAGTGGAGGGTGGGGCCCTGAGGGAGGAAGAGGTTCTTGGCTGGCAGCAGAGTTGCCGCCTTCTCCCCTGATTTGGGTGGCAGAAGGGGAAAATGAGTTTTTTGGATGTTAACACCATATGCCATTATATTTGATACTTTTATGTGCATTAAGAAATACATCCAACCTTTAAGATATTACCTCCATTTTTCAGGTAAAGAAGCAGAAATTTAGGAGGTTAAATAACCCAAAGGCAGAGCAGAGCTCAAGGGCGGAGGCGTGAGCCTGGCTCGGCTGCGCTTCAAAGCCCCGCGCTTCCACCTCAGACACTTCTTCCTTACACCAGAAGCCCACGCCACTTCTGGGACCCACCGAAATCTCTTTTTCTTTGCCTGTTATGAGCTATATTTTCTTTTTAATGCAGAAAAAGCCCTGAATAAAGCAGTAATGAATAGATTAAAAGAATACAGCCTGTATCTTTATATCAACGCTGCCATGAAGGACAACTTTTCTTCAGGGAAGAAAGGAATCATGAAGGCAGGTGTGCCTGGGCCACATGAAAGCCACAGTGTTTCCCACACAGCCCGGGCCTTCCTCAGGCTTCCCTCAGGCACAGGCCAGTTACTCTAGACCAGCGAACCTTCTAGAGCTTTCAGTGACCAAGCAGCCAGCTGCGGCCCACATGCCACAGGTTTGCCACCACTGCTCTAAGGAAACGCCCTGGAAACAGAGAACACAGAGTCTTTATTCTGCATCTGCCACTCCATCCTATCTCTTTCCTGCCTAGTTGAGATGCAGCTCTGATGTCAGATAAGCGGCCCTCTGCCACTTGTTCTGTTGCCCGAGTTTTGGGCCAAGCGCACTTGCTGGGAAGACGGGCCATCGGGGATCACCCATGCTGACAGGGTCACCCCGATGTCCTACTGCAATCAATGACCCAAGCGTTTGGGGATTCGCACCACGCTGGAGACATGCAGAGATGCTGACATTCCTGGGTTGTATATGGCTCATGTAAAGATGTTTACATGGGCAGCTAGGCTGAACGGAGCTGGTGTGCCAGCAGCAGGCATCAGTGAAGGAGAACTGTTTTTTGAGGCTTAAGGGAGAAAAAGGGCTCATGTTGCCAAGGGCGTCCTCGCCTGGGCCCGGAAGCTGGTCTGAGGGTGGCTGCGCAGCACAGAGTTCCCACTTACCTGAAAGCCGACTCTTGAGCTTCAGCTTACTGCTGCCCTGTTTGGGACTCTGCAGGCTCCCCTTGGATTCCTCAGGGCCACACACATCTTGGGGCTCATCGGTCCCAGGCATCTGCAAGGCAGCAAGCACAGAGCTGATGGGACACGCCAGTCCTGGGGAAAGGGACGCTGCCCCTGTGAGACCTTATCTCAGTGAGGCCCAGGGAGCAGCAGTTCACACATCACGTGAGAGAAAGGTTCACAGACCACGGCGCAGCCTCCAACTAACCAGTGGGAGACAGAGGCTGCTGCCCCCACGCCCCTCCCCACCCGCACAGAGCTTGGAGGTTTGCGGGCTGGCAGGGCCCTTTCATTCTCTTAGGGGAACCTTGTCATCAAGGTCACCTGGGGAGTCCACGGCAAAGCCTAGTGACAGGGCTTGGGGGTCTGTGCTGCTCCAGAAATCCTACTTGTAACCAATATTAAATCAGAAATTCAAATCTAATTTTAAGATTCCTAAAATACAAACTTCATATGGCAATCAAACAACTACAGGGGTATGCTACTTAATGATGTGGATCTATTCTGAGAAATGTGGTATTAGGGGATTTTGTCATATGCTGCACAAATGGCAGAGTACGGACCTAGACTGCGTGATGTATGCCATTCACTAAGCATGGTATCCAGTAACAATTAAGAAACATGGTAGCTAGGCATGGTGCATAGTGGTGCCTGCTATAGTCCTACAGCACTAGGGAGGCTGGGGCAGGAGGACAACCATGAGTTCTGACCAGCCTGGGCTACAAAGTGATTTCCAGGGCAGCCTGCTCTACACACTCAGACCCTATCTCAAAAAACAAGGGAAAGAGAAAGGGAGAGACAGAGAGAGTTAGAGAATGAGGGGGAGGGAGGGAAAGAGAAGAAGAGAGGTGTATGTGTGGGAGAGGGAGAGAAGGAGACAAGGAAGGAGGGAGGGAGAGGGGGAGAGAGGGAGGGAGAAGCAGAGAAAGAGAAAGGGAGAGACAGAGAGACAGAGAGAGAGAAAGAGAAACCATGAGCCTAGGAGGTTGCTGCTGGCATAGCTTGGCACATTTTTTAACAGTGAATATTTATTTTTCATAGGTAGGAGTACAGTCTAATGACAAAAAGCATAATATAAATACATAAGCCAGTAACAGTGATTTACGTCAGGTTTAGCGTACTGTATGTTGTGTGCACCTTCTTTATGGCTGCGTGTTTGTAACATAGCAAGGCTGGTTCTGTGGCACACACACACAACACATCTTGATATTTTTCTATCCATTTACCCTCCAGCGCCATATCATTATACAACGCAGTACAGCACCACTGTACCCATGCGCAGTGCACTGCACTAGGTATTGCAGCTGATAGGAATTTTCCAGCTCTATTATGATCTGATGAGGTCACTGTCACCTAAGTAGTCCGTCACTGCCCAGAACACCACTGTGAGTGCCACGATGGTTTAGCCTCAGCCTGACCCACGCTCCAGGTGCTACCCTGAGCACCGAATAAACACCTTCCAGGATGAAACACCCTCTCAGTTATGCGGTACAGCTAAGAGGCAGTTCAGAGTGGTCCATCCCAAGGCTCCTTGGCTTCTTCAGCCAAGGGTAAAACATGCAAAATAAAGGTAGTTAGTAGACTGAAAAAGAAGATGTGTATGTGAGCGCTTGTTAAAGTTCTTTGGGAGTAAGGGCCGGCGAGATAGCTCAGTCATATAGGTGCAGGGACAGGGGTTTGATCCCTGGCACCACATGCTGCGCCAGCCCCACCCCTGGGTGCACTGAGACCTGGTGTGGTGGCGCACACTTGTAATCCCAGTGCTTGGGAGGCTGAAAACTGGAGGATCGCTATGCATCTGAACTGTGTAGTGAGGCCCTGTACCAAATACATTAAAAAAAAAATCTTTGTGGGGAGGGGTAATGGCACAGGCCTGTAATTCTAGCACTGAGGAGACAACGTGGGAGAATTTCAGTTAGTTCAAGGATATACTGGGCTACAAAGTAGGCTCAAGGCTAGCCTGAACTGAATTCTGAAACCTTGTCTCAAAAAGACAAAAAAGGGTCGGCTAAATAGCTCAGTGGATTAAAGCATCTGCAAGCAGGCGCAGGGGCCAGGGGTTCGATCCCTGGGCCTGCTGTGCCAGCCCTACTCCCAGGGTGCGCTGAGATGGCAATTGAGACTGGGCATGGTGGTTCATGCCTGTAATCTCAGTCTTGGGAGGCTGTAAACAGGTGGATCACTATGAATCCACCCTGAATACCCTGTAGACCCTTCCCTAAAATAAAAAAAATAAAAAAAAAAAAGACAAAAAGACAAAAAATTTTTTTTCCATTGGGGTACGAATTTACATGAATCAAATTTATTGCATGTATCAAAAAATAAATTTGATATTGTAAATTTTACTTCCCTTTTAAATCTGGCGGGTAAAAAACGTGCCTTATATTAAAACACATAAAATTCATCTGGATGTGGTGGTACAATCGAGAGGCTAAGGCAGGAAGGCTCAAAGTTTGAGCCCAGCCTGGACAACTTAACCTGGACCCTTTCTCCAGATGAGAAAATAAAAAGAGCATGATGTAGCGGAGTGTGACAGCCCTGGGTTCAATTTTCATACCCAGGAACAAAGCCAAAAATAAGATTCGTGCTGAGGAACATGCACAAACCTCAAAAAAGGCGTATATTTTTGATACTAGTTATCTAAAAAGTATGTAATCATAATATAGAAAAACCCACTTGTTTTAACAATAAACTTACTGTATATTGAATTCAGTGTGTTAAAATCTACCAAGTAAGAAGTTAAGTGTCATCTCTCACGCCACTTCCTCTTCTGAGGTAATTATTTGTATATATGTTTTATATGTTACATATGGTTGGGAAGATTTCATCTCCTTCCTTAAGTTCAAGTATCTTTGCAGCTAAGGAGCAGGAAGAAAAGGTCTGAGATTGAGGAGACAAAGGCAAAGTCGAGGAAAAGGAATTGGGACAATAAATTAGTCTTGACATAGAAAACAAAGATAACGGGTTTGCCGTAGTCAGATTACAATGTCAGGCACTGGCAGGTGTCCAGGTTTTCTTTTTTTTTCCCCCAGAACCGGAGATTGAACTCAGACCCTTGCGCTTGCCAGGGAAGCACTTACTCTACTGAGCCATCTCCCCGGCTCCAGGTGTCCAGGTTTAAGATATAAAACCCCAGCAGGAACAGAATCTTGAGGATCATTCTAGAGGTTCTCCAGAGAAATGCCCTTCCCAACCCCGAATCCTGACAGTGAAAGGCAGCAGCTCTGTGATGGGCCAGAGATCTGGGCCACATGCAACGAGGAGACACCCAAATGGGATAATCCCAAGAGCGCCCCGGAGAAAACCTCTGGAGAGAGGCTTCTCTAGCCTGCAAATAGCACTTTCTGGGGACAGCGTGAGGATTCAGTCTTTTCTGTGTATATTCAGGGAAAGGCAGTCCTCAGCATGCAAGCCTTTGGTGCCCACAGGTGGGTGGCTTACTGCATGCTGGCCCCTGGTGGTCTGTTACACAGGGATTGGACACAGTGCTTTATTTTATTTTATTTATTTATTTTTTTTTACACAGTGCTTTATTCCACTGTCTGTGATGCTCTCATTGAGGGAGGGAAATCAGTCCAGCCTCTGTTGCTGGACTTGCGATGTGTCCTCCCTTTACTTTTCTCTCTAGTTTCCAGGCAGAGTCTCAGGTTTTGAGAAAGGCAGAGAACCTTTGTGGTGTAAGGGTTTATGGGAGTACCCAAGTATGGTGGCCTGCCTGGGACATTTCAGCTCCTGACACACAAGGCTGCAACTTGACTCTCCATGTCCTGACTGGTACATGGCCATGTGATGCACGCCCTGACTTCCAGCTTCATGGGCTACAATAATGTACCCCTCCCATGCGAAGGTGCTTAACTAACTAAATGAATGATATGGTTAATACCGAGTATTTCTTCCATTTTATTATCACAACAAATATATACAATAATACTTTGATTCATGAAGTTAATTTGTTCTACAACTTTAGGAAAGATGGCCACATTTGTGTTTGTATGAGAAAGATGGTGTTGAGAATCTAGCTGCCTGGGCACAAATCTTCTTTATTATTATTTTAATTATTATTAATTGGCATTGGGAATTAAACTCAGGGCCTTCTCTTTGCTAGGCAGGTGCAGTGTCACTGAGCTGTATCGCCAGCCCCTGAGAAATCTTCATTGTGTCACACTGTTAGCAATTTTGTTCTGTTAGTCAGATTCTTTGAGCTTCAATGTCCTTGTCTCAGATCTGCATTTAAGAATGAGTATTATATAGCTTTCTGATTGATAATGGCAAGTTTCCTTCTTGAAAACATTCCTAGCAAGATAGGAGAAGGAAGGAAGAAAGAGAAAGAAGGAAAGAAAGAGGGGAAGGAAGGAAGAAAAGCAAAGAAGGAGGGGCTAGCCCAGAGTCCCCCAAGGACTAAGAGAAAGGGAAGACAACAGCAACAAACTTCTGGAGAGCAATAAGTAGTCAAATGTGTGATGACAGATCTGATTTGGGGATCAGAGAAAGCTGAACAGCAACCCGGTCTACTCAGAGAGCCTCCAAAGTCCAGGGCTTCCCAACAGAGGACTCTGGGATGGACACCAAGGAAAGGCTGGAACGCAAGTACTGGAAAGCTCAAAGTGCCTGAGGCAGCTATTCTTGATTTTGAAGGAAATCCCCAGGGAGCAGGAAGGTCTAGACAACTTTGGTATGCATTAGAATTATTCCTAGAGCGATTAAAGACAAAGGACCACAATTACAGGAGCAGCACGGGGCCTGGGCTTCTAGAATTCACCAAAGCTCTGGGTCAAATTGTCACAGCCTCCAAAGGAGATGCAAGACAGAGCTACAGTTTCCCCAGTTCTTTGTCCCTTCCCCGAAGTTCACTCCGGAGATGGAGAATGGGGAGAGGGGAGCTGCCCAGCTGCCAACGGGGTATATGGGAGACATACTGCATCATGGTGCTCTCTATTTAGTATATGCTTATTCTTGCCACCAATTATGGAAACTTGTTCTATTGAAAGTGTGAGCTACAAAGGGCTGGCCAAATATCTCAGTGGATTAAAGCACCTGCAAGCAGGTGTGGAG